AAAAATTATGTCCTCAAACTTTTTGATTTGAGAAGTATTCTCATTTTCTCATTACATACTATTTTTATTTCTTCTAGTTAATACATGGATCAGCGCTGCTCTTGACAACAGCACTATCTTTTGTTCCTTGTTTCTGTGCCAATGAACACACGATACAAAACTACCAAGCCATACTGTATGGAAACTCTGATGGCAACATTCCTGTCAATCTAGATTGTGAGACAAGGCTTCATTCAAATAACAAAAGAAAAGCTGTGTTCCATAATCCTCGGAACATGATCACCTTGAATGGTAAGAAAAAGCTGGAGAGCAACTGATGATGCAGGAGTGGTCAAGTACAGCTAATCACTGCAGAAAGCAGTCAGTCACTTGTGCCCTGTCCTGGAGAGGCCAGTGATCAAGATTCTCCACAGACCCTGGCAGGCAGCGGACTGCAGCAGCTAGGGTGATGGTATCTTTGTTACTGTATACTTATATCTGCCATTCATTCAAAAAGCATTAAGTGAGCAGCTACAATGTAGAGACACTGATGCTTGAAAAATATGAAAAAGACAAGGTCAATGCTCAGAAGAGTCCCAACATAAATTTGGGAAGAAGAGCAATTCTGGTTCTTGACAAGAGAAAACAGCTCTGATAATTTATACCAGAAGCCATTTGATGCTTAAAATACATACTGAACTACTTAAAAAGGTAAAACCACTGATAAATATGGAAGCAGCTTCTTTGCAAGCAGTGTGGCAGTTTCCTGGGGTAGCTGCTCCAGTTTCCCTTGCAGGCCAGACACAACCAACCTATCCAAAGACCTCCGCGCCCCAGGCTCTCCCATCAAAGCCTGCTTCTGTCTCATCTCATCTCATCTCAGAATATCTAAAAAGTATTGGACTAAGACATTTTTTTTAACTGAACTAAAATATCAATTTATACTTTATATCATTATGACTTAAATATTTCAAAGGAATCGAATCCTGGCAAACTTAATAAGAACCTATTCATTATTCAAATTATATGCTTATTTCAGTTTCTCATACCTCAGTTTACAATAAGCAATATTAAATAAAGCAAATTTGCCTTCAAAAAAGTGCAAAGCAGGGTCTTTCTGCATCAACATGAAGATCAATTAGCAGTGCAATGAGGGAGTAGCATGCCAAGGAAAATCGCCTGCACTGTGCGCAAGCTCCGTGGTGCGACCCTTTGTTTAAGCTCCCACAGACAGATGGGGTTCCTTTGTGTGTGACAACTACATGAAAGAGGAGATCTTGGCCCACTCCACTTTCAGGTTCTCAAGATGAGTGACGTGGGCCTATTTCTAGGAAACCTCTCCAGACATTTCTCTTTAACTTTGGTCTCTCCTTCACTTTCATGAGTGTGACAGGGTCATTGCAACAGCATTTTTAGGGATGGGAAATAGATTATATTGTAGACAAGGTGACAAGGTCTTCTTTAATGCCTGGACAAATGGAATGACAAGAAAGGCAAGCTCCTTGAGGCCAGGGCCCAGTATGCTGATTCACCTTGGACTTGCCGTCAGAGTTAGCACAGTGTGCAATGCTAAATGACTGCTGGGGACAGTACAGAGTCTGGGGCTGTTCCTCTTCTTTCCAAGGAAGAAGCCAAGAGGTAAGAAAGGGCAGTGTGCAGTATGAAAGGCTGTCACTCAGTTACATCTCCCACTTGCCTAAGGTAGCAGATGATTGGGTTTTGCATGCCTGGTTTACACTCTTCAAATATTTATAGACAGTTCTCTTTGCCTCCAGCCCTAGTTGTCACTTAGCCAAGTTATACATACATGGTTCTTTTAATCTTTCCTTAGAAATCAATCCCACTAAGCTCCTTAATCATTCCAGTTGCATTTTCTCTCAACTTTTGGCTGTTTGTCTTTCTGTTGATTTATTCTGTTGATATACATGAAAATAATAAGAATGTAGAACATGGAGGAGTTTAGTCACTCTTCCATTTCAAGATTCAATGCCTTGTATGTACAAAATAAAATTATTTATCTTCTTTCCTTTTGTATGATCACATTTTAAAAAATTTGTATTTAAGTTGATGGATCAATCAATACATTGTAAGAGAAAGAAAGAAAAAATATCATCAGTGTTATATTCTCTAAGGATGATACTATCATTGATTGAAACTTCTCCTGTGTCTACAACTGATTGATCTAACCCAAAGTATTCAAATATGGGGAAAGTGGGAATCCAGAGTCACACGGTCACACAAACAGGCTTAAATGCCCACCCTAAGGTTTTGTCTATATGTGTATACTTCTCATTAAATTCAACTTAAAAAAAAAAGGCAAGAATTTTTTTGGACAAGACCCAAAATGTAGGAAACTAAAGCAAAAATCAGACGAATGGGATTACCTCAAACTAAAAGGAAGCCATCTACAGAATGGGAGAAAATAGGTCCATCCTATACATCTGACAAAGGGTTCATACCCAGAATATATAAGGAACTCTAAAAACTCAGTAGCAAAAAACAACCTGAATTAAAAATGCACAATTGATCTAAACAGACATTTCTCAAAAGAAGACACCCAAATGACCAACAGACATGAAAAAATGCTTAACATCCTAGTTATCAGGAAAATGCAAATCAAAACCACAATGAGATATTACCTCAACATACCAAGAATGATTCCTATAAAAGATTCAAAAATAACAAGTGCTGACGAGGATGTGGAGAAAAGGGGACCCTTTCACATTGTAGGTGGAAATGTAAGTTAGTATAGTCATGATGGAAAACAATAGCGGGGGTTCCTTAAATATTTAAAAACAGAACTATCATATGTATGACCCAGCAATCCCAGCACTGGGTATCTATCCAAAGGAAATGAAATCAATATGTTGAAGAGACACCTGCCCTCCCATGCTACTGCAGCTCTATTCAAGCCAAGAAAAGGAAACAACCTAAGTGTCCATCAGCTGGTGAATAGATAAAGAAAATGTGGAGGTAGTACACAATGGAACACTACTCAGCCATAAAAAGAATGAAATCCTTTCATTTGTGACAACAAGGATGGAAATGGAGATTGTTTTAAGTGAAATAAGCCAGTCACAGAAAGACTAGTACCATGTAATCTTATTCACATGTGGAACCTAAAAAAATTGGTGTCACAGAATTTGGGAGTAGACTGGTGGTTACCAGAGGCCGGGGAGAGCTGGGCAGTGGGCAGTGGATGGACAAAGAAATTCTAGTGGCTACTGCACAGGAGGGTGACCACAGATTCCATGGTATACATTTCAGAAAACTGGAAGAAGGATTTTGAAAGTTTTCACCAAAAAAGAAATGATAAATATTTGACAGATATGTTGAGCTGGGAGTGTGGCTTAGCAGTAGAGTACTTGCTGAGCATGCACAAGCCCTGGGTTTGATTCCCTGCACTATCACATAAATAGATAAATATAATAAAATATATAAATAAATATAAGTAAATAAATAAAAATAAAAGAGTTTAACCTGACTTGAACATTACACAGTGTATATACGTATTGAAACGTTACGTGGCATCCCTTTAATATAATTTTTGTTTCTATATATCAGTTAAAAATAAGTATAAAAAATTTTAAAATTACAAACATTAAACATTTTACCATTATAAAAATATCACATTAAAGAAAACTTCAAACAATAAGTAGGGAAAAATTACCCATAATCTACAACCCAAAGACAAAATTTAGCATTTTTGTCTGATTTTTTTTTTCTTTTTTTTTGGTGGTGGTGGGGATCGAACCCAGGGCTTTGTGCATTCAAGGCAAGCATTCCACCAACTGAGCTATATCCCAGCACCCAAATTTAGCATTTTTAAGTTACAGTTATCATTTTTATAATGAGCCTACTTATAATCCACTTTCTTGTCATTTTTTAAAGAATATATTGTCATTGATGATAGCCATTATGTTGTACAATAGGTCTCTTGAACTTTATTCCTAGCTACCTAAAATTTTATAAGCAAAGTTTTGACCAACATCACCCTGAACTGCCTCTCTACTTCCCCAGCCCTTGGTAACTACACCATTCTATCCTCTAACTCTAATATCAACCCTTTTAGATTCCACACTTGAGTAAGATCATGTAGTATCTGGCTTTATTTTACTTAACATAATGCCCTCCAGATTAATTCACATAGTTGCAAATGGCACTTTGTCTTTATGGTTGAATAGTATTCCGCTGTGTATATATCACACTTTCTTTACCCATTCATCCATTAATGGATGCTTAAGTTCCTTTCCCATCTTGGTTACTGTGAAAAGAGCTGCAGTGAGCATGGGAATGCAAATGTTCCTTCTACATACTGATTTCATTTCCTCTGGACACATACCCAGGAGTGGGAATGCTGGGTCATAATGGCAGTTCTGTTCTTAAATTTTTGAGGAACTTCCATATTGTTTTCCAAAATAGTTATTATAAAAATTACCTATAATTTTTATAATAACTTAGCATTTTTGAACAATTTCATTTAAACCTTTTTTGATGCAACTCCCCAGAATATACATGATCATACTATTTGCACTGTATAACACCTTGGCCTTTTACTTAATATTACAACACAAAATTTCATGTACAGCATTTTCTTCAAATCATCATTCTTAACAATTACAGATCATTTCATCAAGTAAGGGGATGTGCCATAATTTTATGATTCCCCACTGTTGGACATTAACATTGTTTTTATTTTTTCTTGAGTTTAAATTTTTTACTACAAAAAATCTTCATAAAGCTTTTCTATGTTTAAGATTATTCCTAGAGCTGTAATTTTAAAATCAATGGGCCAAAGGTTATACATACAGTAAATTTTGAGGTAAAAAATCAAGGGAAGTGAAGTGAAAAATACCACCTAAGTACTAAGATTTGTCTTTTGGCTGTGATGCTAACCAGTGAATGCTCAAATCTTAGGAAGGCATAAACAATTGTCAGAGATGAAGAATTCTAATAAATCAAATGTTATACCTGCAGAGTCCCACTCTTCTTATTGACTGAGCTGAAACTCTGAACCTTACCTAGATCTACCATCAGAAGGCGAGTGAGGGCTGTGTAGAAGGTTGTTCGGCACCTGAAGTCACTGAGACTGTAACTGTCACTGATGCCAAGAAAGGGGAAGTGTTCATTCTAATGAAAGCAAAAAGCATCCAAAGTTACCAATGTTTGACCTAAACTACCCAGAACATTCTAGTCACTGATTAAGAAATTAAGACTTACCGTGTGGTTCTTCAGCATGAACTTCACAGCATCTATTTTCACAAGTTTTTTTAAAAGGATATAGGTATTAGAAGTTAAGGAATCCAAGGAAATATTTTTGTCTTATCAATATGTAATAAGTCACAAAATAACACCGGACTAAAATGGCATCAATTTGTACTTATGAAGAATAAATATTATTTCAATAGTATTCCTATAGAAACATTTTCATCCTGTTAAGAATGATAATCCATTATTAACCAGTGCAATTACTTTTCCATTTTATACATATTCTAGTTATGGAAAGGAAGAATGAGTTTTATAATTAAGACAAGAACTCCTTTACTATTAAAGTCTTGATAGAAAATTAAAACTGACCCTTTTACATTTTACATATAACTTGAGAATTTCTTTTTACTTAATGTTATTTCATAATAAAATAATTATAAAATACCCATAAGAGGCTATCAAGGAAGAGAAAATTATTAAATTCTAAGAAACAATGAGCTCAGTCAGCAGAAGGCTAAGATGAGAACATGGCAGGAGGAGAACTAACAGTTCTCAAGTGGAGTGGAAGGTGTTTTTCCTGTTATTCTACCTCACCTTCATAATTAAGCTGTTATTAAGATTATTTATAATTTCCAGTATGTAAAGAAGAAAACAGAAGCTCAGAGAATTGAATTGCTTGCCCAAGATTACACAGCTGTGGGCTGGCAGTGCTGAGACTGAAGCTGAGGCTTAGCTCTGCAGACCTTGCTGTGTCCATTGTACCACACTGTACAGCTGAACTCAGAATAATAAATTGAGAAATCATAAAAATTAACATAAGGCTTAAAGAATTTCTAGTGAGATGTGGGTGCCCAGCATATCTACTCAGTGTGCAAACACCCGCTTTCTTTAGTTGTGGGTTTTTACTGTCCCTCGAGCATCCTGCCCTTGTCTATATTCCCACTCATGTCTTTCTGGAAGGCTGGCTCCATTCATGTCACAATGAAAACCCTGGCTCCTTTCCCTCACATCATCTCCAAATACAGAATTCTGTAAACTGTCCTGTACAGTGGCACTGAAAAGGGTAATTCTAAATTTTAGTTACTCAGGTGGGTGTAAGAGAGGAGGAAACCTGGGCTTTGGCTCGATCACATCATCCATCAGCGGGATGAGTCTTGAGTGGTGTACTCAGCCCGAACCTTAGTTTCCATCACCAACAAACAAGGAGGAAACCTATGCCCCAGCGGGCCTTACAGGATTGTTCTGAGGGTCAAAGGATGCAAATGTCTTTGCCAACTGTGTCAGGGCAGAGATTTTACAGAATGGATACTATTTGAAAGACTAATTCTCATAATTCCAGGAGATAGGTAGTATCACTTCTATTTTCAGATGCCAAATAATAATAATAAAAAAAACTTTCTAAAACAAAAACAATTGGTATGATTTAGATTCAAGTTCCTCTGACACCAAGGTGACCATTACAGTTGCACATTAAGCACATCTATGTGGCTCATCTTCATATTAGACTGACAGCTTTCTCAGGGCAGGGCCTGCATCCATGCATTTTTCTCAGTAAGCTGCCCAGTGGGGCTCTTGATGCATGGTTTTCTGGCAGGCTGAAGGGCAACAGATCAGATCTGACAGGGAGCAAGTTTTCTCCTGCACTCAAAGATGCAGATTGGATGATTTTTCAAAATCATCAATCACCGAATAGAACTGTCACTCAAGCTTCACTCAGTTAAATAGGGGTGGGGATCAATAAACTTAGAAATATCTTAAGTAATTACCAAATACAAATCTCTTAAAATTGCAAAGTTTAAAGTGACAGGGTCTATGGGTAATACAAATGCTGCCATTAACAGGAATCTTCCTGTCATGCTGTTAATAAACAGCAAGTCATGTTTTGACAATAGAATATTTATGGAAGCAATAAACAGAACATTCACAGGAAGAATCTCATCTGCCAAAGACACATTTTCTGCAGAACTGCATCTGTGTACTTTGTACCAAGGCCAGCTTCACTGCCTTTTAATTATACTCAAAAAAAAAAAAATTAAGAATTTTTACCTTTTTCAATGAAGAAAAAACAATGAGAATTCATCTGAATATTTGTATTTCCTTAAAGGAATTCAATTCAAAACCAGATATGGTCTTAAGAAGATTTGTGAAAAAGGGCAAATGGACACACTTTTATGATCTTTATGCTTTCATCTTATTCTTCTCTAAGAGACCAGGGCTCTTCTGATAAATTGTGTCATTTTAATTGGGTAGGAGCACTAGATGGACTCTGGCAAAACCAGGTTAGATTGCAGAGGCCTGCAGCTCCCAGCAGCAAACGTGGCAATGGAGCTAACTACAACAGCCACCGCACTACAAATCTTAAGTAATGAGAGAATTAAGCAAAGGTCAGACGTGGAACTTGTAAGTGGTAGAGTCAAGGTTCCTACCCAGGTCTGTCTTAAAGCATAAGCTGTCCTCATAAGGTTCCATCACATTCATTTGATTTTAGAGAGAAACAAACTAGCTCCTTGAAATACAACTGAAACTGGAACTAGGTCCAGAAGAGTCAGGGAAATCTTCTCTTTTAGAAGGAACCAATTAGTTAACAGGACACACATCCAACAGGACATACCACTGTTTGGCTAACACTAACTCACTAACCAAAATTTCCAGAAATTCCTCTCTCCCTGTGGTTATTAAAAACATGGAGAAAGGTGAAGATAGTCTTCCTCAGGCTAGCACGACCAATGGAGAAAGGCAAGAAAAGATCAAGAGAATGGCTTATCTTATAGATGCTGAAAATTTGGAAAATCTGTATCTTTTGAAGAGTAGGATAACTAAGTCAGGAAGGAACTAGTTTCTTTCTTTCTTTTCCTTTCTTTTTTTTTTTTTTTTAAATATTTTTTAGTTGTAGATGGACACAATACCTTTATTTATCTATCTGTATGTGGTGCTGAGGACTGAACCCAGGGCCTCACACATGCTAGGAGCACTCTACCACTGAGCCACAACTCCAGCCCAGAACTGGTTTCTTAAGTTACAGGAAAACCACACTCTTTACTCTCTACACAGCAGCACAAAGTATAGCTTCAACCCATGGCATGAAACCTTCACTGACATCCACCATATTTCACCCAATCTAAAACACCATCCATGTAAAAGTACCATTATTTTAGGTATATTAAAACTTTAGAAAAAAGATAGTTAAAATACCATCAACTCCAAGACATAGCCTAATTACAAAAGTATTAAAATGTGAAAAGTATATTTGAGAACTGGAATAGTATACTAGATCCTGAGTATAAGCAAGGTAGATAAAAGATGATGAGAAAGAAAAGATGATGAGAAAGAAAATGAAAGAAATATTTAGTAAGCACTAAACAGTGGAGGATTACAACTACTTAAGGTCAGGTTACTAAATCTTTAGCAAGAACTGAAACTTAGAAAGGGACCCAGTTGTTTATAATGTGCCTAACAAGGGAGAATGCCTCCCAGTGTGATTCAGTGAGAGGCAAGGGCATCAAAGGAAGGCACATAAATGTCCTTGGCCCAAGTACAGAGCACAAATTGTGGCTGAATGATAAATCAGGAAATTAGTTATAGGAACTCAATGTCAAGTACCATTAAAGGACTCAAATTCAAATCAATAATTTTACTTTGACCTAAGAATCAAATGGAAGTGATTCTGGGCTTTTGGGAAGCAAAATGATCAGATCAACCATACTTGAGGAAGGTAACTGTGTGGAACAAAAATCTGAAGAACTTGGAGAAGGTCTGAATAAGGTTACAGAAGAGGAATAGAGGGGGTTGCCACATCTGACGCTACCACAGAAGTGAACAGAGGAGACAAATTATGGGGTGACTTTTCCATGGCTGATAGAAAGCAAATCAACATTTCTTTTGATGAGAAATGTTAACAGAAGTGTGCCTGAGGGATGTGTGCTGCGACTAGTTTTATTTAACATTCTCACAAACCATCTGGAGATGTGGTACATTCAGCAGAATGAATCCATGCATTTTAACACTATACCACAAAAGCAGAATTATTAGTGTTTTATTACTATTGTCCTGTAACAGACACTCCTGTTTTACTGCCACCTGTTACTGTCATTTCATTGTGGGCCTTTGCTTTGGCTCTCATCCTCTATTCTTTCCTGACCACCATTCATATTCAGGATTCACAATCTCAGTGGTGGAAAGGTCAGGGACATGGTGTGGGTGTCTGGTTTGCACATTACTTGGTTATTTAAAAAATATTAAAGCTAATGGTTTGTACATCAGGAAAACCTAAATAACCTTGAATAAAAGGGCTCCCTTTAAGTAGAGTAGTCATATCACATTAGATAACCACACTATTTTTTATGTGTAAAATTTCAGAAAATAAGTATGCAATTTACTTGTATTAAATTTAAAAAAACTAATAAATTAAACAACTGACTTTGGGTTCTTAGGAAAAACATAGGAAAGGAAGTATGGAATCAGAGTCAGGTCTATTAGAATTTAAAACCTGTGAGGGCAGGGTCTGTGTCATATTTGTCCATCTGCACTGTCCTTAGTAATCAAATGCTAAGTATTTGCTGAACTGAAAGAGGCCAATAAGAAAAAGTCCATCATTAAGATGTGTATGGAATTAATCTAAAAATCATTATTCTTTCTCATTCAATGTAGTATGTAGGCATATCTGGTTACTGTACTTAAAGAAATAAAGCAAAGACAAATGAAGTCAGGAAAGATATGAGGTTGAAAAAAATAAAATCATCATGATGATCAAGTTGCTTTGATAGGAATCGAACCCTGGCTTGCAAAACTCAAAACAACCGAAGTAAACTGATAGATTTATAATACATGCAGAAATTTGCCAAATTCCAGTGTAAAGCAACTTAGGGAGAGCCCCAAAGTCTTTGAGTTTGACTGAAGCCAGAGGAAGGAATTCTTTCTTTCCACCACAGGCAGGCAGGCAGGCCAGCTTCCCAGTGTGCTGGCTGCACTTTTGCACAGGGCCCTGTGCTTAGGAAGGCCTGATCTTGGTTGAATGCTCTGAGGCAGAGGACTTGAAAAACCTTAACTTTCTAACAAGGGACCCACAGGTTTCATTTTGTATTTGGCCCTAAGAATTATGTAAGTGGTTTTGCAATAACAAGAATTACTGAGGTTAGCAGTACTAATAAAGTAAAATCTGAGTTTAGATAAATTCGTGAAATGATGTAGCACCCTTTTTATGGTTTTTTAAAAATTTTTTTTCAGATGTTGGTGAACCTTTATTTTATTCATTTATTTATATGCGGTGCCAATGCCTCATGCATGCTAGGCATACGCTCTACCACTGAGCCACAACCCCAGCCCTATAGGGTCTGTTTTTGGAAAGCTAAAGATATTTTGGATTTTCTCAGTTTTGAGGATTATATAATAAAGGACAACTACCAATAGAGGGCACGACATCTCATTACTAGATATTTGAAACTCAAAGTAAGACTTTATGTTGCTATAAATTTGAGTAAATATCAATAGCAATATTGATCAATTATTTAAGAATAACTTCAAATCATGGCTAATGAACAAACAGAATTTTGAATGAAATGCAACATTTTCTTCTCTTTTCCTCAGCATTTAAAATTGGTAATCTGATTACTCTTGTAAAATTCTTATTTTATTTCCACTCTCCCCAGAAGTTTTCTTATCTCAGTCACTTGAACAATCTCACCCCTTTCCCATTTAGACAGAAATTAGAACTTCAGAGAAGAAAACATTTCAGAGGGCAAGAATTGCCACACGGGGAACTAGGTGCTGTGGAGGGGCTGGCCCAGGACAGAGCGGCTTTAGTTCTGTGTACATCAGAAGGAGCTACTTGGGATAAGGAATTCTTGAAATTTCATCTTGGAAATTTAAAGAGTACGTTAAAAAAAAAAATCCCAAAATATATTTGCTAAATGTATTGTATATACCCTGTAATGAATCTGATAGAAAAATTTAAGTCTTCTCTAAAAAAGAAAATTGAATTTAAAAATTACAATAGTTGGGCTGGGAATGTGGCTCAAGCGGTAGTGCGCTAGCCTGGCATTCGTGCAGCCCAGGTTTGATCCTCAGCACCACATACAAACAAAGATGTTGTGTCCGCCGGAAAAAAAAAAAAAATTAAATTCTCTCTCTCTCTCTTTAAAAAAAAAAAATTACAATAGTCTTAGCAATTTAGAAAGTTCAAATTCAGCAAATGGCAACTTTGGGTCCAAAGGCAACAAGTTATTTAATTACAACCTAGGAGTTCATGGAAAGGCACATTACCATTTAGGGAACTAGATTACTCTATCTCTAAAAATGTCATGTCTGCCTATTTCTGGTATGGACAAAGTCTTATGAAGAAATGTCTGTGGGAAAAGCACCTGGCTTTATGCTCAGGGCATGTAATTCAGCTCTTCCCTAATTACTTAGAGGCAGAAATTCTCCAAGTATGGTCAGTTCCTGGGCCTACATCACCTGCCCCTTGTTAACATGTAAATTCTCAGGCCAGAGCCTTACACCTCCAGAAAAAGGAACTCTGGGAGGTGGGGCCAGACAATCTGTCCTGATCAGCACTCACATTCCAATGCTCACTAAAGCTCAAGGCCACTGCTTGAAGGCAACTGAAGATTTTTTAGCAATTCCTAAAAATGAAGATGTTTTGTAATTTCAAATTTTGGAACAAGTAATCAGATCAAAGAACACCAAAATTCAGGGACTGGCTCTGGGCACCGTAAATATGAGTTCAGTTCACCAGAAGCAGATAAAACAGCAAAACCAAAACAAAGTATCTGAAGACATGTACTATAAAGTAATAAGGAACATTTAAAAACTTAAGAAGACAATATGTTTTTCATTTACTTAATAACAATATTTTATACAACATTTTCAATATTAATATACAGATTTTCACTAATAGAAGCCAATAGGTGATCCTTTTTATTTTGCTCAACTTTCCATTGCTGAAGAAGGCTGTCTTAATTTTTAACACAGAAATAATGCTTGCTTTAAAATCAAAATATAAAACTATGTCATAATGAAGAAATCATTTGGAAACAGCAAAACATATTGGTAACCAGTGACTGCACTGAAATAGATACACCACTCACATATTCCATTATGTAAATGAACTCAAAGATATTTCATGACTGATCAGCTAGAAGGGACATAATGATTTATAATTCAAATAACTGAGCACTGAAATCAAATTGAGCTAATATATATTTCTAAATATGCAAACCTGAAATAATTGTTAAAAAATATAAATCAATGTATCCATGTTGAGATCATTTGTATCCCTTGGTTTAAAATGTTACAGCTTTTAAACTTTTATCTAATAAGTTTTCTGAAAATATGATTTTTTATTAACTTTAAGAAGTACTCAAAAGCAATAAACAGCTTATAAAATAAAAGGTTATAATATTTGGATTAAAGAATATATAAGGGGCATAATATGATAGAAAAAGAATCTTAAATAGCAGATACAAATAAATTAGACATTATGCAAATTATACTAAAAAGAATACAAATCAAATTAATTTTATATTAAATATCAATTTCAACCTAAAAAAAACGAGATAAATCTAAACAATAGCTATGTGCTATAAAATAACCAAGGCTTCTTTCCAGATAATATGCTCTCCAAGTAATTCATTGTGAAAAGGCCAGAGTTTGCAATACTAGGAAGTACTTATAAACCACTTCATATGTTAAAAATAAAGAGTATTTCAGCATTATTATTAGAAAAAATATATAGGTTGAGATTTTTTTAATAAGAAAAAATACATATCTTAAAGAGCCAAAATGACCACTGGAATTGGGTTGTACATCACTTTCCAGTAAAAAGGAAAAACAGCCTGGACAGGTGTAATTTATCATTTTTCTGATTTAATATCAAAGAAATATATTAAAATAATAAAAAGAATCCTGAAATCCTCAAAATTTGTAGTGATAAATAGCCCTCCCTGTCTTTATTGCATTATACCTACTAACAGAAATATTGCATGGTGGATTTTGCCAGACAAGGACGATTATTTTCCAATAAAAAGTTGCATATTAAATTCCAGCACAAAAGTGGGTGTCTAATACTTTGGAAATCTCTCACGGTTTACCAAGGAACACAATTTTAAACTTAACTAATACAAACATATTCCTGGGATGAACCTACATTAAAGGTTTCCATCCAAAGCTACCCATTTCCAGAATTTGTCCTCATATTAAAATATCAGCTAATTTTAGTGGTAAACTGAACCAACATTTATTTTTCAGAACACGTATCTGATAGTGAACATACTAGACAACCTACATGGTTCCTTCTCACTGGTAGAAATATGAGCACAGTATCAACTATAATCTAGTGAGGAAAAAAATAATTTCTGGTTTTAGGTTTAAAAAAATCTGCTAGAGAGAGAAATTTAAATATTTAATGTGGCACAGGAAATTGACTTTAGAATAGATAAGAGATTAATTTGGTGATGCCAATAATCAAAGTAGTCAAAAAGCCCATCATTTCTTCCTATTACTCCTCTGGGCTTTTCGATTAACAAAAATCATGTTCTTTTCCACTGAGAAACAATACAGAGATATTTACTCTTAGATACTCAGTCATTATAAGGTAATATTTTTAGAACATTTTGCTCTTCTTAACATTAGTTAGGTGCTTCCTTTTAGAAAATGGTGTGAGAAAGATGGACACATGCCTGCCGCTCTCTCTGTAGCCACTCATTACCCTGTGACTATAAACAAAGGTGATGACTTAGGAATCCACATATCCATGTGCATTCAACTAGGACTCTGAATAAAAGCCTCATGGCATACAGCTATCATAAATCTTTAAAAAAACATGCATTGATAGATAATGCTGAATGAAAAGAATTCTTATTTTTAAAAAAACCTACAAAATTATAAAGAAGGAAAATACGTGGCAAACAGAATGCACTTATTAGATTATTAATATGTATTATCAGATGTACAATGAAAAGGATATCCAACAGAAAGGTCATTTAGGAACTGAAGAGTCCTTGAAATTATAGGCTCACATCTTCCCCAGTATTTAAGATTTGTAACACTAAATGTGAAAGAAAAGTTTTAACTTATAAGTAAGATATTTGCTTAAGCAGGGAGAACATAAAAACATATACTTATGTAAGTTAGATGATCTAACTAACAAAACAAAAAACAGGTTGCAATTCTAACAGAACATGTTCTACTCTTTTTACAGCATATGAAATTTTGTACAGTCAATCCACAATAAACATAGATCTCTAAATGGTGCATAACTCTATAAATTTAGTTTTGTAAATTAAAAAGTGATTTAAGTGTTTTACGGAAGAAATATTAAGTATGTAACCAAAACTAGAGAGTGAAGCAGGAGTCACAAAGGAAGTCAGATAGAGGCTCATGGTTACTGCTAAAAAATGAGCCATCAGATTGTGGTTTTAAAACTCACTTCTCACGATCACAACTGTTTAGCCTGCTTTGCTCTCTGTAAGCAAAGCAGTGCTATCTACCGGTAAAACAAAGTTTCCAAGTGGAGACACACAATAAACTTAGGCTAAATATACAAAGTTATGTCTGTGACTAGAAACCAGTTAATTCTGCTAGGATTATAAAGATAATTCAGGACACTTCTAGTGAACAGGTCTCTTGAGTGTCGCAGGTTCCTGTGTGAACCAACACACATCCTACCTTAAGACACCTGAACCTCCCTCACTCAGTGTTCCAACTCCCCAAAAACTCTTCAGCTGGTCTTTGAAATTCAGTATTTTACTACTACTACTACTACTACTACTAATAATAATAATAATAATAATTAGAAGAACAAGAACAGAAGAAGAAAGCTGCTCTGAAGAGTCAGGGCCTATTTTTTTTTTTAGACCTTGTGCTGATGCGGCCTGCTTACAGTGGCAAGGACGCCTTGGAACATTACCGTGTCTTCTGCACAGTGAATTGTAAATGTGAACGTAATGCTAACATTGTAGGAAAGCAAAAATCTTAAAATTTTATTAAAAATTAATATATGTAAAGAGACTAAAATACAGTAAAAGGATCTATGAGGTTTAAAACAACAGAAGAAAAATTAAAAACCAAAATAGAAACTCACATTTTCGTCATGAATGTTTCTAGAACATGGTTGTCATCTGTTATTCCTAATACTTCTGACATACGGGCATATACCTGCATGAAAAATTTGTTTTAAAAAGCTTTATCATTAACATATATTTTCAAAGGAGTATTCAAATTGAACCAGTTGAGATTTAATACACTGTTGCACCCACACTGAGGCAGGGAGTGGGTGGAAGGAGTAAACCAAAGAGTTTTTAGAAAATTGTAAGTCTAAAATTTATTAAAAGTGACCTCTGATTTGAAATCATTACACACCTGTGCACAAACACACTCACATATCCATTCTATAACCACCACACTCGACTCCTTTTTGCTCAAGTGGAAGAGTGCCCCCTCCCTGACGATGCGGGGGGTATGCAGAAGGCTGGCAAAGGAGATGTTCCTGTCCCTCCAGATTCCAACAGCCCATCAGCTAACTTAGGTAATACACGACAAGTATCAAAATAAGGACTTCAAAACTAAAAATTAAATTCATAGAAATTCTCCTCAAACATTTCCAAATATAGAAGTAGGTCTTACTTTAATGCTGAAACTGAAATCCCACAGGGATTCTCTGTTGCAAATACCAGCCTGGGAATCCACTAAGCTTCTGATTAGCGTATGCTGATTTCAGAATTGGGGTGCAACATTCAGTCCCAACCCAAGCCAGCTGAGCTTATAAACAAAGCCCACCTCGAGTGGGAGAATGCCACCAGCAGCCAATGGAACGGCCTCTAGTAGCCTGGCAGAGCTGGAGGTGGGTTGACACCTTTGTACTCCCTGATGCTCTGGTGTGCTTCCAGGTTGTCCCTGCCAGACACCAGCTGCCTGGGATTTCTCCTCTGTGTTTTGGTCCCCTGTGATTGTGTTCTCCCACCTTCTCCTGATCCGCTGATTTCCTGAGGATGGCACTGTAGCTTCCACTCCTGCTTTTGTTTTTCATATTTAAACACCAGCCTGATAATCTGCCACATGTCACAAAGGCAACATAATACATAGGGTACCACAAATTTCCCAGTTATAGAATCATGCAGGGGAGAGAAGCTGTTCATCACAGAATCCCCATTTTTAGATTTTTAAACGCTGCTTGAATGAGAAGTTTGCATTCTAGCTTTCAAACTGTGAGCCCTGTGCTGGGAAGGCTCCTGCTCAGTCTGGAGCAGGGCAAGTGGGAAGGAGGGAGAGGAGAAGAGGAGGGGGAGAAGGACAGAAGGGGCACAACAGTGGAGAGAAGCCGGGAGGTGGAGATGGACTTCCACATTTCTGTTCTCCTCAGCTAACTCCTGAGCCCTAAGAAAAGTGTTTCAATGACTATGAATCTATGACTTTACCCTGGAGAGCTGGCCTTTATCTCTTATAAGACTGGAGCAACCATGGAGCCTCCAAAGATGTTTGCCTCAAAGGGAGAAGCTTGCGACCATCAATCATCGATGATCAGAAACCTTTAAGCATGAAGGGCTCAGAAGAAGAATGGTTTAAAGAAATGGAAGTTTACCTTAGTTTGCCATGATTCAAAACTTGTCATAGACAGGAGCATTCAAACTGGGTCCCCTGGAAAACCTTAACTGATATGACGTATGCCACACAGAATCCTTTCTACCTCGCCCCAACCTACCTCATCTTCCACCACCTGCCTCCATCCACCTCAGGCCACAATGAAATACCGAGGGGTTACTGAGCCTTTCCTGCCATTTCAGATCTCTCTGTCCATAGGCTCTTCATTTTGCCTGGATCAGTCTCCTTGCTCCTCTTCCTGATTCCCATTCCAAAGTCCTTCCCTCTGAGGCCTTACCAGCCCTCCAGGAGTGAGCTGCCGTCCCCGTCACACTTCCACAACGTCTCACCCTCTCCTCCTCTGTGGTGTGCGTTCACACTGTAACTGCCCCACTACACAGACAGCTCCCGGAGGGTGACACTATCCCTATTCTTTGTGTCCCAACACCTGAGATGTTATTTCATATGATTACTACATGTGTGTTTAATGTGTAAACCAAAAGCCATGGTTTGGATCCACAGGACTATATTATGATGTGAATATTACACAAACAATAAAAAATGAAGATTCTTCTTATGAAGCAGATGTTGCATTCTATGAGCAAAAGATGAGAACCATAAATTACAAGAGAAAAATAAAAGCAGAGATTAGTTTGTATTGTTATTTTAATCTGTGAATTTCTAATAGCTGATATCTTTGAACTTAATTTTTAGTAGCACTCTTGGTCAAATGACATCTTTCAAGTAAGCTCTTAAAACCAGACAACAGTGGGGACCTGGCACCCTGCTGTCTATCCTCTCCTGCCCGCCTTGCTCTTTTCCAAGGCCACAGACTGCGCCCTTATCTCTGGATGGCATTTTAAAGGCACTTTCACTTGACAAAGACGAAAGCATGAATGGATTTCCTCCGACTGGCCCTGTACAGTGAAAGCATTCTCTCCCAGCAGCCACAGGACTGCCTTTACAGACACAGGACATTAACCATGAATTTCACATTTTTGTATATTGATTTTTTTTGGAAAGGACATGACTGTAGCATTGTCTCAACTGGCCTATTTTATTTTTATTGTATTTACATCTTCCTTTCTCTGTTATCTCTTGGTTTATTTTCTTGTTTTGGACCATACGATGACTATCCTATACTTTTGTCAAGTCAAATTTTACCTTTTCAAGGCTTTATAAAATTTTTATGGCAGAACTCACAATTAATCCAACTTTTCTTTTAACTATGCCACACTGAATAACAAAATGTAATAACTAGAATGTGATTAACATTTAAAACATTTTTAAAGGTGTATCTTTAAAAAAAATTGATGGTTCCTACCAGAAGCTTTCCTGGTGTGACCCTGGCTGGCATGCAAGAGGGGAAGCTAGGCAGGCAGGTCTGTTGTGCTCTGCTGTCAAAACAGTTTCCTCAAAGCACCGGATTTGAACCAATAACATACTAGAAAAAACAGTCAACACTGACACATGGCAGTGCTTTAATCCACAATTACCCTGTAACTTGCACCGTTCCTTTTATCATCCATTAGCTTTGATTCCCATTATCCCATCGAGAACTGTGTCAACGCTTTTGTCCTTGGGGACTTCTCTCCACTACTAGGATCTGACAGTCAAGCTTGAGTACTAAACAGGATCATTACCTCTTAAATCCACTTATCTGATCTACTGAATAGTAAATTGAAAAGCTCATTAAGAGCAACAATCTGATTTGTTTTCACGTGTGACAGGGTCATTTAAAATCAATGTATGATTACAGCATTTCTTTTAAAAGACTGTCTCACATTTTCCAAGGCACCTTATCATTCAGAGAACATGCAGATAATATAAAAACATCTCCAATACAATTTAATTAGATCACAGACATAGATAATTTGGGGGTGGGAAGTAATTTGTTCAGTGAGGAAATATCTGCAAAATTCTATATAAAGTGTAAGTCAAGGAAAATTTCTACAGAAAATAATTCTAATGCAAGATTTATAGTCTTTAACATTTTCTACAACTTTTTTTTAAAAAAAATCCTTCACCAAAAATACTTTCTAACGACAGCAAGAAGAAACCCCAGCACAATACCCATTTTAAAGAAGCATACAGGAGCTGGCATAGGGATGAAAAGAAAAGGAAAAAACCCTCACTTTCACTTCAAGATTCCTACTCTTTTATTTTCAGAATCTTCAAGATAATTTGATTGTAATGAAAAGTAAGCAAAAATCTAAGAAACGCAAGTCCCAGTTGTTAGTCCTTCCGCAGAGGAGGATGGATGCTACAGTGACAGGTACGTGGTTGTGCTGGTGGTCACTGTGCACACAGAGCTACACACCTGCAGGCAAGTCCCCGCTGCCTCACCCCCCTCTCTTCTTTATTCCTCCTTTACTCCACCTGCTTGTCTTTATTAGACTACAGCTCCCTGCGGGCAGGGGAGGGAGAATGTGGCTGTCCTCCATGTGCACCATGCCTACTGCTTCACAGTGTTTGTTAGGGTTGCACCTGGAAAATGTACATTTCATTCAGTGCCATTTCATTCCTAATTTTATTTATTAACAAAAGGAAAACACCCATAAAAGCATGTTTTTCTTGCTTTGCTTCTAAAGAATTTTTTTCTTGTAAATAAATTTTTTAAAAATATTTATTTTTTAGTTTTCGGCAGACACAACATCTTTTTTTTTTTTTTGTATGTGGTGCTGAGGATCGAACGGGGGCCGCACACATGCCAGGCGAGCGTGTTACTGCTTGAGCCACATCCCCAGCCCTCTTGTAAATATAATATATTTAAAATCCAGTTCCCAAGGAGGGAATAGTAGCAAACTTTCCGTTATTTAAAAAGGTGTGGTTTTAATGCTTGCAAGTTCCTGGAGAAAGCCTGTCCTGCAGAGCCAATTGGAAGAGCTCTTTAAGTGCTCAGAGCATCCACTGCTGGGAGCCTGGTACGTGTGCTTCTCTCATCACGTGACAGAACGTGACTTTGGAGTACAGCTTTCCCTGTGAATCGGTACCTCCACAATTTCAAGTGTGTGCTCCCTGGGGGTAGGGGAGACATCTGTTTTAGTGGTACTTAAAACACTGTCTTGATGAACTTAGCAAAGGAAAAATTGAATAGTTTTGGTCCCAAACATATCTGAATTTCAATTCTGGTTCTGCCACGAACTAGGTGTTGCTTCAAGTCTTTGAATCTTCGTTACTTATCTATCAACAGGAATAATAACCATATATTTCATACTCTATGGGTTTCTAGAAAAATTAAATGATAATAGTTCCTGGCATTTAGTAGTTACTACAAATGCTAGGCTCCCCTCTGTCCCCTTTCATGAACCCTTCTGCACAGCAAGGTGCTAAACTGTCTACTAATACCTTTTTAAGGCAAGGCCCTTCAGATAAAGTAGGAAGTGCTTCTCCTGCAGCCATTCACATAGCAGAAAGATAACAATCAAAACCAAAACCTTGAAATGTGCATTAATAACTGGAATCTTTATGTGGTCAATGAACACATTCTAGTCTTAGAAACTGTATTCATTAAAGGCACAGAGCAAATGCTTCAAAATTTCATGATACGAAACCCAAATTCTTTCTACTTTTAAATG